GTGTGTGTGTGTGTGTGTTGTATTAACACTGGACAAACGTGTATTGTATGAAATGTGTAATACTCCGGTCATGTACTTTCTAGCTCCTGACTGTTTCTATAATATCAAAGTTTATAAAGTGATAATAATGAAGTGCAGTGTGATGTTGTACTGTATAAAGTTATGATGCGTGTTGTTATAATGTTATAATGTTATAATGTGCAGGCAGCGCGTGGTTGTCCCGGTGGTGTCCCGGGTGTGTCCCGGGTGTGTCCCGGTGGTGTCCCGGTGGAATATCTAACTCATATTCTTATTTACATTTTAAAACATGAAATAGTTGAATGCTGTCATTTACCCTTTGGAGTGTTTTCTTTCTTATCCCGCTAAACTTTAAACTCCTCGTTATTGACCCATGTCGTTTAAACCCTGGTCATGTGATGTCACCAGATGGTAACTGTCGTAAATCGATGTTACAAAATGCTGTGAAACTTCAAACAGGACGTTATAATTAAGACGTTAACAAGTGGAATCTGATTATTCTGAGTATGATCTTATTCAGGTTGAGTTAATCAGAACATGATACATGTCAGAGTCTTATTCATCGTCTTAATCTGGTCAATATCAGAATAATGGTGTCCATGGAAACATGTCTGATAACATCAGTTATCAGACATCAAATTAAATAGAATAGAATTGAAGTCGATGGCCACGTGTGACGAAGTGAAATCCTCCAGAATCTCGTTCTAAATGGACTTTTTTAAATTCACGTGTTCGGGACACTGGATTCTTCACATCGTAACCTGTCAAGCCATTTATTTTTTGTGCTGAAGGTTTTTACATCTCGAAAACTGAACTGAACTCAGGTCTGGAGTTTGGGTGTCTTTTCTTTTGTCGTCTTATCAGTTGCTTGAGGAGCAGAAGGAAACGAGTCAAACACAAAAGATGAGTCAGAAGAATTGAGCTGAAAATCAGTGTCCACAGGAGAGACGGGTGAAAGGAAGAGAGAGCAGGGAAGTGTGTGTGTGTGTGTGTGTGTGT